TGTCCCAAAGTTTGAGAGAGGTGTGAAAAAGAAGAATGGAAAGAAAACATGTGGTCAGAATGATGCAATAAATCTATGGAAAGTACTATGAGGAGATTAACTCAACAGAAGGGCTTGAAAGATGGAGACAGTAGAAGAAGTTGAACAATGGGAAGCATGGGATTTTGTGAAGATTTCATGGTTAAAATTACAGGAAAGGAAAAATAAAGACTAAGCAACTAGAGATGTGAGAAAATGTAGCAAACATTATCTTTCCATTCTGAAGGATGACAAAGCTATGGATTAAAAAAATGGCAATGTGGGGGAATTGTTTTGGATAGAAAGGGGGAAAAAAAATAAGATGGATGAAGATGCAATGAGGAGAGCTGTTTTGCTTCTATTATTGTGGCACATACATATCCTTAGCATAGACCCCAGTCTCTGAGATGGAGTACAGCACCAGACAGAAGCTGGTTGTCCCCCTGAAGTAAACAAGCTAAGTAAGAAACTGAAGACAACAAATGAAGGCAGAACAAAATTCAGGGAAACGTGAAACAACAGTAGACAGCATGAATAGCTGTGTGACCTACACAGCAACAGACATAAGTCTTCCAAGGTGTATTCCTTGTTTCTTTTTAGATAAACATTGTAACAAAGGGGGGAGTTTGAAGGGGGATTGTTTTGTGAACACTTAGGGAGACATGGTGCTCTGCATGAGAAGCCTCATGGAAGAAAGTACAAAAGTACCTGTCTTAAAAATGTCAGTGTGAGTGAGGATGGGTGACTGTGTTAACTGACTGGAGGCAAGAGTAGTTTTGATAAAATTGATCAAATAGATACAGGCTATGAAGTTAAAAAAAGTAGCCTGCATTTGTGCTAGGGAGTGGCAGACTGATGGCGATAGCTGAAGAGGTTGCCCCGTCTAAGCAGTATGTTCAGAAAGTGGGCTCTGCAATACTCCGAGTAGATACAAGGAGGAATAAAAGTCATTTGTTGTGGTCAAAGAAAATGATAAGGCAGTAACTAAGATGTGAAGTAAGAGCCTAGATAACTTATTGATGTAGATGGCTAGTAAAAGTTTTAGCTTAGATTATGCAAAAAGCATCTGCAAGATGTAGATGTGTTCTGCCACAGGACTCTGAACAGAGCTTGAGTTAAAAAAGGAAGTGATACAATCAACAGTGATGGAGCGCTGTGAGGTAAAGACGTGAGATGGTGTTTTTCAGACAATTAAGCATAAGTAGGTGATCTGACAGCCAGGATTTTGGTGCTTGTTCCCAAGTGCAAATCAACTTGTCTAAAAAATTGCATGTTTACAGTAATACTGGAAAGTAGCATATTTTCAGTATTAATAGAAAGAATTGCAGATTTGGAGAACAAGTTAAATGGGTTGCAATGCAAATGAAATTTTAGCTGGAGTGCCTACAACCTGAGTGACTTATGAAGGTATGATTTCTGCTTTTTTCATGTATTGATTGTGTTTTTCAGAACAATATCTTCTGAAGAAAGTATAATGAAGTCATTAGATTTTTGTTACGCTTTTTGCAGATTATATATCTGCAAGTTTTTAGCTGACACATTTGTGTGAGTGCTTGTATAATTAATGTGTATCTTACCTTTATATCCCTTCTTTTTTGCTCCAGTTAGCGCCTTCTTCAGAAGCAGAAAGCTCCCAGCACTGTTGTATGTTTAGTCACTATGTGCCATTGGTTTGTCTGTGCATCCTTCCCATTCCATCTTAATTGCTGATGCCAGCAGCAACATCCACTCACAGTAAGAATACAGCTTGCGTTGCCCTATTATTACTAGCCATTGAGTTTGTATGTGCCACACAATTTGTAGGTGCTAATAACTGTTCCCTAGAGAGCAGCTTTTTAAAGGAATAAATATCTAGCCTATTAGAAGTAATGTAGAAATTAACTACCATGGGTTTATGGTCACTCTTGCAGATAGTTGCATTCAAATACAGTGTAGAACTAGATTATCTCAGCCACAAAAGCATATGAATTTGGAGCTTTAAAATACAAGAATGTTTTCAAAGTATAAGTGAATAGAAGATGAAAGTATCCCAATCTCAGCTTCTCAGTCTCTAATACAGAAAAGGAGTTCTTCTGAGGAGAGCGTGTCATTTCTTAATGTAGAATGCAGCAAGCCTTGGACTTGGCATTCACATCAGATTTTTGTTTTGTTTTTAAGTGGGGTTCTGTTTTTAACAAGCTGCAGATGGTTTTGTGGATTGTTAGGAGAAGCAGCAACCTGGCTAGCTGAATTACTTTTCTCTGGGTGTACCAAGTATGCATTTGATTTAGACTTCTTGAACTGATATAAGCACGTCCTCTCCACTGTGTAATGAAAACATCATTATCCTCCTCAGTCAGCGTCTGTGTCAAGACTTCTTTATTTGGTTAGGAGACAGGTACCTTGATTGGAGAATGGGAATGTCCTTGTCACGTTCAAAGCGGTAACTTTCCGTCATTTTTGCCTTATTTGTGTACAAGCTTTGGATATAATAGGGTAAACTAAAAGGTTTCCTTTAGAGACCTCTGAAAGTAGAGCATTTTAAAAGCAGGTAGGTGTCTCCACCCTACTTTTTCATGAAACATTTTACCCATTCAAGCAGACTTTTAAAACCAGCTTGTTTTGATAGCAGCCTGTTCTCCTGTGGGCCTTCAGCCTTTGCTTCCTGGCAGCACCTTTGGTGCGAAAAGAGAGTGATCAATTGGGAGACTATCAGTGCCAGCATGCATAGAGTGATAAGTTAACACACCACTGGGAATTTCTAGGGCCCACCAAGATACTTCACTTCTAATGTGCTAACAAGCTCATTTTTCTACCTCTTGCCTCTTCAGTTATTTTTTTTTCTCAGAAGAGCTTAGAAGTTGAGTGCATCAGGCATAATGAAAAGCTCTGTAGGAGGGAGAAGCAATAACCCCATTTTTCCCTTTTCAGCCAAATAGAAAATTAGTTTCTGGTAATACACAAAGGCCAGTATTTTTTGTGCAAGGGGCACTGCTGTGAATCAAAGGACTCTATTAACTGCAGAAAATTCAGCAGCTGTGAATCTCCCCCAATGAAAAAAGTGCTTTTCAACAAGTTGTGAGATACATAGTATTATTTAGACTTCAACCATCAGTTTCATCCTCTACCACTTATACATAGCCTCTTAAAAACTGTGCTATATTACTGTTCTCTGTTAAGGCTCAATACTGTGTTTATCCCCCAACCTAAGAACCATTACAATGGGAGATTTTTATATTTTCTCTTGTCCCCGTGCTTCTATTATAGCTTCTTCAGCCTGAGACTTCTGCTGAGGTTCAGCTGTCTCGGGATCCAGAAAGAATTCTGAACATGGTTTTAGGAGGAAAAATTGTTTCCTGCTTTCACTATGTAAACAAGGTGTGGTCTAAGAAAGTACAATGAAGATCAGTCTATTCGCTAGAAGTTGTTTTCAGATAGTATAGCTTCTATACGCTTTTTCATATTTAGATATACTGCAAAATCTGCTGTAAATATTGTACAGAAAACAACTGCAAAAAGGTTTCATAGGAGAAGTTCTGTAATTGTTGAAGTACAGTTTTAAAAGCTAAGATGAAGGATGTTGCTTCCAGCTGTAATTTGGAGCTGAGAATTTTATTGCTTATCATAAGAGAAAATAGTATCATTATTTATTTTAAATGTTAGCACTTATTATTAAAAGCACAAATCACTTGTGATGCAGTTTTTATGTTTACGTTGCTAAAAAATGTGTGCAAGGGGAAATATTCCCATTTCATAGGTGGTGAAATTAAGTCAGAAAGGTCGTTTCCTCACTGCTCCTGTCCTCCCCAAAAAGAGCAGCAGACCTGAACTCAGGCCTCAGAGCCTTCAAGAAACAGATTTTGAGTGCATTCCTGTTTTTTTGCACAGCATGCTGAGTCATGTGAGGTTTTTTTAGGGAAATAAACCAGAACTATGTAAGGAGAAAATTACCTCATTGTCTACCAAAAAAAAAAAAAAGTTTGCACAAGTGTAAATGCCAGGAAAAATTTCTGATTATTTTATGGTTCTGTAAGATAACTGGAGCAGGTCTCCTTCATTCAACATATTGAGACCAGCTGGAGGACTCTGAAAGTTGTGAGAGAAAAGGTTAACTGATTTCTCAGTTCAGGAACTATACGACATGAAGTCAGCATGGTAGTTTTTCTTGATAATTGTATGTTGCTGCCTGCTGCTCTACATTTTGACAGCCATTTCCATAGTTGCTTTCATGAACAGCAGAAATATTCTCTCTTTTTCTCGCTCTCTCTGTGCTAACAGCACAATCAGGCCTGCTGGAACAAGAAGCCTGGAGAGGGTTCTTCAGAAGCAACAACACTTCAAGATACCGGTCTCTTGTCAATAATATCGGAGAGGGAGAACACAGGGAAAAGGAAGTAGTACAGTATTTTGCTGTCAGTGCCCTGCCGACACCCTGTTAGCCAGTATTTAAGGGTCCTGCGGATTCTTTACAAATATTCTTGCTTGTTTTAAGGGCATAATTGACAAGGTGTATTTCCCAACAGTCAAATTTCGCTATGTATTTATCTTGACTGCGTGTGTGTGTGTGTGTGTGTGTGTGTGTGTGTGTGTGTTCAGGGATTATGGAAGCAGTTTGTTACAGAAAAGTGCAAAATAATTTATTTTGTTAATGCTAAGGTTCTTTTTCATGCTATGCCTCTAGTAAAATGGTAACGTTTTTATATCTAATTGTGATCAGAGTACAGCCAAATCAGCTACTTAAAAAAGAGTATTTAAGTTGTTGTTTCAGAAAGTTTTGCATCAGACATAAAAAAAAGATCGTTGAACCATAAGCATTACTCATGTTTATCTTACAGTTAATATTACTTCAGTGCATCAGATATCAGTTATGTAAATAAGTGTGTACAGTCGCTGAAATACAAGATATGTATTTAACAAAAACAAGAATTCTGTATTACTAGGCACTGATATTTATCAGTTACATTACATGATATAAATTGATCCTTAATTCTTGGCTAAACCAGTTATGAGGAGAGAGCACGGTACCTGCAAACAATTGTTCAACATCATCTAGAGCCTACAACTTTTGAGGATTTTGCTGCTCAGGTTTTCTGTCCAGCTCCTTACCACCATTTGCCCTTGGAGACAGGTAAGAAGTACAGTAAAGAACTGTTTTTATACAATCTTATTTGAAATGCAGTATCCTTACTTATAAAAACTAAAAATTCAGACCTTTGCACATCATTAAGAGTTACTATTAATCTGAAAGACTAGATGTACATATTTGAGAACCTCGGCAAAGTTGCTTTTAAATCTTTATTCCATTGCCTGGCATCATGAGCCAGTGCCTGGCGCTAAGATTTGGCTAGCTACTTTAATATAGCAACCAGACCCTGTATTTTTATGGTGAATTTTATTGCGTTCCCCTGTATAAAGTCTCCGTGGAAGCATTGGTACTACTTCATCCAGACTAGTTCAGATAGATACATCCTTTAATCTAAGTACACCTTGCCTATAAGAAAGTTTTAAGGCTCACTGCATTTTTAGAATGGAAAGTTTTAAATTGGAAATCTGAGAGCCTTGCCGTCGTCAATTTTGTTTCTATGTTATTAGCACAAAGTTGGTTTTAAGGGGTTTTTTTTTACTTTCCAGTAAAATACCTGTTTTATAAGAGGATACTGCATTTTCAGTTACTAATGAGAAAATCGGTAAAAGAAAATTAGTAACTCAAGGCCTTCCTGTTCTGAAATTTCTTTAACTCCTTATGATTATTTCATTATTTTATTTCCCCTCTTTTTAGATCATTAAATATCAGTTCTGTTTATCTGAAGGTAAGACAAAGTGTCCAAAAAACCCCTTTGTTCCTCTTACTTTTACTAGAGCACTAAGCTTGTAACCAAATTGTATGCAAACTTTCCTTGTTGCCCTTGTTCACACTAAAAAGAATTTCACACTGATTGAGAAATGACCACTACATCTTCTTAAAGTTTTAGTCTTTTACTAACCTCAGGTCTGCATGAAGCACTAACACTGGTTCTGGGATTAAGGTAACTAATGATAGAGACAGTTGTTGAATGAGTAACACTTTATTGTGTGGACCTTTGTTTCTCAGCATGAATAAGTAGTACGGGATAGCAGTGGTGTGTTTTGTACCCCGTTCTGTCTTTCATTGATGTTGTAAGACATTCTGCAGTGATAACATAGGAGAGAAGGAGAAGAAGAATGTGTAACACTTGAAATGCCTTGTTCAGAAACCTTTATTTAGTGACAAATAAATCAAAATGTTTCTGTGGAAAAGCTGTAAATAAAATAAAATTAATTTAATAAGAATAAATTAATTTGGCAAGTGTTTATCTCAAAATCTGTTTCTCAATTGCAAAAATATGCAGAAAAAAAAATCTAAAATTATAGAAGAGTTGTGATAGGACTACAAAAGAAGAGAGATGTTAAAACATTGAGATTCCTTCACTTGAAAGTATAAAACATAAGTAGAAATGAGGTGCAGTTTCAAAGTAAAATAAGTGGTATAGTTATGCCAGTGCAAATAGTCAAGACCAAAGGGAAACAAAACTAAATGTAAGTGACTTAAATCTAATTATATCAGTATAAAAAATAATAACTTAATATATGAAAACATTTGAATAGGAAAAATTTGTAACTAGACCCATTAAAAAAACCACCAGGGTTACCAGTCCTTGCCACATTTCCTACCTAATACACTTAGTAAGTATTCAACACCAGGCGCTTTTGGACGGGTGGTGTGTGTTCTGTATTGTAGGGCTTGTATCAGTTCTGCCTGTTCACTTTTGGAAACCTCATTCCAGACTAAATCGTTCTGCCTTCTTCCTCTAGTCCATTCTTTCCAGGTGCAGGAAAAACTGCTTTTCTGTACTAGTTTGGTACATTGGAGAATGCTGCTCAACCATGGCAATTCCTGTGTTCCTTTAAAAATTGTCCTAGTCCTACTTGGTGTTCTCTACCATGATCTGGGCAAATATTATGATTTTTAGAAACTTGATTTTAGCCTTTGCAGCTCCAGTTCTCCCAGCAGGTTTAAGTCAGAGGGAAAACCACTGGCTGTAAACTCCACCGTGATTCGTTAATGATAGAAACTGGATAGCATTTCTATCAAATGGAATAATTTCCTGCAGGCATCTCATTAATAGGAGCTTGTGATGTATTTCACATCTGCGTGTATGCACGTGTGTGTTTACGCACCACAACACATGATGTCCTGTCCTGAGGGCCACGTTCTTTAGGACCTTTACACTGTGCAGTGGAACTGACCAACACATTCGTGTCAGGAGCAGCCAGGAGCTTCCTAGGATGGACGTGCAGCACAGTGTGACCTGGCATCAGAGTCAAACAACCTGCCCCCAGACCTGCCCCCAGACCTGCCTGACTCTGAGCTTTCATTCCAGCACAGGGATGCTGGGGATGCTCTGGCAGTCCTGCTTGCAGCCCGGGGGGCTGACCCCTCTTCAGTCTGGGCTCCTGATACTCAGCTCCAGGATGGAGGGCCTGGAGTAGCACCACACCATCTGCATCCAAGCTGACTCTGGAGTGCACAAATTCTAAAGTCTGAGGCAGGTATAAATTAGCACTGCAGTCATCTGCCAAAAAAAGGTTACGCCAGGGCTGGGGTTAGCCTGGAAACCACTGGTTTCCAGCTCTAGCAAAGGCAGAGCAGCGAGCAAGGTGGCTACAGGTCACCCAGGACTTTGACAGACCTTGAGCCTAGGAAAGAGTCCACTAGATGGACTATTAAAAAACTACATACCCCAATGATTTCCCACAACAGGCATATTTTTTGAAAGATAGGTGAAGAGCTTTGAATTGTGCCACAGTGGCACATAGGACTTGCACAGGAGTCTTGCCTGAGAATCAGCACACACTCATCACCCCCAAGATGACTCAGACAAAACCTTGCAGGCTTCCTGCCAGATATTTCCATGTCATCTGAAAATTTCTGACTGGTGTCTAAAAATACATTACAATTCTTTTTTTAAAATACAAAATACTTCATTTATGTTTGCTTTTTTAGTGAAAAATAACTGACTAGAAGAGACTAGAAAAGATTTCCACATTTCAGATATCATGGATGTGATTCTCTAATTTGATCATGATCTCCAAGATTACAATTGCTGAGTATGTTTAATTTTTATAAAATATTACATACAATTTCTCCTTCAAAAAAAGATATATAGAAACTGTGAAGCTACTACAGTCCATCACCAGGTGTTGTAATTTTATTGTTGTTGTGATCCCGTTGGCTGGTTTAAGCATGCCAGTTTTTTCATTTGAGCTATGATAATCAGAGCAAATAGAGAACATGCCCTTCAGTAGCAGACTCTGTTTCCCCAGATTGACATATTTTATCACAGGCTCAGCCCTCAGCAAAAGCCGTTTCCTTCCTTAGAGTGGTTTGCTCTTCAATACAATGTGATTGTGGCTGCTGCTGTTTTATTTAGATACTTAGTTTGCCCTGTGAAAATATCTGGTAAGTCCACCTTCCCATGTTTAGGAAGCTGACTAGTGTAGTGGATGTGTACATTTAAAAAAATAGAGATTTACCTGCACCTAATCACAGAATATATTTCAGTTGCCTCTGGATTTTTACTTTGTGCTGACTCTGATAAATAGAGTAACTCCTGCTATACAGCTCTTGAGTAAACCAGATTTCTGTGACACCAGAATAGGTTGAGAGAACTGTCAATTATAAGCTCAATGATATTGAAGGGCTTATTGACCCCAGGATGCTGAGATTCTGAGCTTTAAATTGTACTGATGTCTCAGGTTTGGTTCTTCTTCTTAGATTCTTTTTTTTTTCTTCTCTTTCTAATACTACCTCAGTATAGTAAACCTTATAAAGAAAGGACCTCTCTACATTAGTCATAGCGCTTTTCCTTGTGATAAAAGCATCAGACTGTTTGATCCTAACAATCATTCCTTCTGTTTTCAAGCCTGTGTTCAGAACAATTCTGCTGCCTCACTCTCAAAGTAAGTGGGGATGGCAGCTGACAGGCAGGGCAGCAGGGAATGTAGAGGTAATGATACTTCGGCCTTGCACAAGAGAAACTCAGACTCAACAGCCTGCATCTTAATGTGTTCTGCTGTGTAACTCTGAACTGAGAATCGTCTTGGCCCTGTATTACCCCTTTGTGGATGAGAATGGTGGTGCTTTTCTCACTGTAGGAGGGTCTAAGAGACACTTGTTGATGGTGGTGGTGGAAGTTTGTGACTGGAAGTGAAGTTCAGATACAGAAATGAGGGCTGCGTGTCTGGGAGGGCTGGGAAGAGTTTCTCATTATCCCTTCTACAGTCCAAACTTAGGAAACAATTCTTTTTCATTCCAAATCAAAGCAAACCTCAAAACTTACTGAAATTTTCCAAAAATTTCATCTTGGAATGACTGAAGCTGGAACTTTATGCATGTCTGAACTATTGTCCTTAAGTCAACCACTTGGGTGATAGTAAGCTGGGAATCCTCAGCGCTTTGAGGCAGTAAATTCAGTGTGGACTGCTAGAGACCCAAGCAGATCAATTTTATACATATAATGAAATGGGTGCACTTAAAAAAAAAGAGTGTGATTATCCAGTTAAAAAGCATTCTGTGCATACACACAAGGGGACAAAATGAAATTTTAATCCTGACGTTTCCTAGTTTTTGAATGTTTGACTTTACGAATTTATTGTCTTGTGACAACATTTTCCTTGTTTAATTTCTTTCTTTTTTATTTTGAGGCATATGGGAAAAGAGAAATTCTGTAATACTGATTAACAGCCACGTGATTCATAAGCAAAACTCTAACCTCTAGATCCACTCCCAACTCCTGCAGACAGAGATAGGGCAATAATTGGTAGTAATGGTAAGCTGCATTACCTCTGCCTGTGTCTCCACTAGTGGAAAGATTGGGAATTTTGCCATTGGGTTTCACAGATAATAGTTGACAAAGAGGAACAGGTTTACCCAATACATTTCCAGCCAGGCTCTGAAGAGCATTCTTCACTGGACAGGGGCTCTGTCGCTCTTTTGCCATAAACTTAATCTTTTTTGCTGTGTTTTTTCTCATAGTTGGCTCTTGGTTCTTTCTCTCCTACCCAGTTCCCCTCTCACAGGTCTTTAGGCCACTCACCATCTCTTTCTCACCTTCTCATCTTGCTTTGTAGCAGCTTTTGCAGTCTTTCTGCATTCGCTTCTCACTTCCTTTTCTCATTTCCCAGTTAGTGAGAGCCTTAATTCCTTGACTCTAGCAAGGCTCTACTGAGCATGACAGACAACTTGGCTGGATATGGACTGGAATTTCTAAGAGTTGCAAAGCTCACAAGCTGTACAGAAGGAATTGCCCTCTTCCCTGGAGGTCAGGCAGGGAGGCTGAAGTAAAAGGCCATAAAAATTTGCCAACATGCACAAATGATACTTTCCTCTGTGGTCATTCGCAGAGATGGCACTCAGGAAAATGCTGATCCAGACAACAGGGAGTGGTAAGGCTAGACATACTGAGAGTAGCCCTACTGTGCAGCACCCTGTCAGGCTTCTGCAGTCAGTTTTTCACCTCTTTGAAAGTCAGAACAGATGAGTGTGATGAGTAATACCAACACCTGTGTTACACCTCTGGATTCCTCCATCCTCGCCTCACTTTTAAGTCAGGCTGTGTGTTTTATATTTAAGTTTTCACCTCTTTGAAAGTCAGAACAGATGAGCGTGATGAGTCATACCAACACCTGTGTTACAACACCTCTGGATTCCTCCATCCTTGCTTCACTTTTCAGGCTGTGTGTTTTATATTTAAATAGTTAATTTCTGAGTCAAATAATCAACATACTGTTATTAGAAGATCCTAAAATTTTCAAAAGGAGTGTGAAAATGTCACATTTCAACTTTGTTGATCCACCTCCTTGTTCAGAAGCAATTGAAATGGCTTTACATTATGGCCCCAAAATATCATAGCCCATGAAGCTATGATATTTGTCACTCATCAAGCCTAAGAGATGAAAAATACGGATCACTTCCTGACATTTTTCAACCTCTTAAAAATCCTAACACATCTGTTTTGTTTATTTTATAGAAATTTCTGCTTCTAGGTCTATTGTCAATACAGCCTTCTTATTTAACCCTATGTTTACATTTTGGATAACTGAATATTTCATTGTGTAGAGATGTAAAGATACTGACATTTTACACTGAAGATTTTAAACCCGGGGGAAGGGCAAACAAAACCTGCAGAATCTCTATATACCACATTTAGTATCCATTTGTGATAGGGTAATGGTTTAAAACTAAAAGAGAGTAGATTTAGACTAGATAAAAGGAAGACATTTTTTTACAATGAAGGCACTGACACAGGTTGCCCAGAGAAGTAGTAGAAGCCCCATCCCTGGAAACATTCAAGGTCAGGTTGGACGGGGCTCTGAGCAACCTGATCTAGTTGGAGATGTCCCTGCTCACTGCATGGGAGTTGGACTAGATGGCCTTGAAAGGTCCCTTCCAACCCAAACCATTCCATGATTCTATGTGTGTATGTGTGTATGTATGTGTCTATAGGTATATATGCTTATCTAAAATCCAAAGAAATTAAGTTACTAATCAGCCTGTTGATTGCTGTCAGACTTTAAATATATTTTAAGTGCCATTATTCTTCACTCTTCTGGTGTGATATGTTCAGACGTGAAAATCACTGTACGTGACTTCTGTTCTTCAATAGCTCTAAGTCAGTTTCTTAAAAAATGGGACTGTATGTGAATCTGTACTTCTGTCTGCAGGAATTGGAAACAAAATTTTAAGACACGACTGAAATAATGCCTTAATTGAAATAACACAGGGGTTTCAGTTTTTCATTATCTAACCCGTGATAAAATTTCACACTAGGGTTTAACACTTTGCTGCAGACTAACTAGCTTAAATACTATGGTTTTTCTTCTTTACATGATTTCAGGAGTCTCAGGTTGAGACTGGCTATAATTTTAGCATACTTAATACCATGAAACAGCTGGGGAGCAGAAGCCATATATCAACTTGCCATTTGTTTTTCCTTCTTGATTGTGTGTATGTGTGTGAGTATTTAACTGTTTTCATAGACTTTAAGCAAGCATTTCAGACAATGTTTAGGATGTATCTCAGTTGCTATGAATAAGGTTGCTGGATCTGGATAATGTTATAGAATTCTTTTCTTTCTCTCTCTCTTCCTTTTTTCTTGTAATGCTTAGTTGGTAAGTATGACGCCGGATTTCAGAGCTGTTGCTTCATTGCACATAACTAACTCATCACTCTCTTTAACCTGTAGCATGAGCAACAATTGCATAATGAAATTCGAAATTCTGTTTTCTGTGCTCATCTGTTAATACCCTTCAATCTCTGCAGTTCGTGTCTCATGTCTCACACCTGTTATCTTTTATCTTTTCTCCCCCCTCCTTCCTCACTTCTTTCCACTCCTCCTTCCTCATCACTTCTTCATTCTCAACAAAGAAAGAAATGCTGTGATATTTCTTCTCCTTCCAAAACCTCCACTAGAAAGCATTGGCCACATCAAGGTAAAGGGCAAAGGCTTGAAACGGAAGGTCTTTCACGCTAGCTGTGAATGGTATGCTGTGCAAAAGAACAACGGTTATTTTCTATTCTCTAACTTCCACCATTTGAAATGCTTTAATTCCTTGTAAAATTAGAACAAGATAGAATTTCAGAAAATGAGAGTGCATGTTTCCCTGCTTGCCTTTTTTCTGTAAGGCACAGAGAGTCAGGCATTATCATGCTTTTCCAGATTGTTTGGCAATGAAGTACCTAGTTCATGAACAGAATTACTGTCACCAGCTGGGGAACAAATAACAGCCCTTTATCCTCCCTGTCACTTCGATGGGTCGTGTCAGTTTGAAAAAGATAGAAAGTACCATGCCGTCCCTCTGGAGCAGGCAGGTGATGGACCAGGCGAGGAGGACAGCCAGGTCGCTAAAACACAGAGGTTTATGGCAGTATGCTTTAAATGTACTCTTAGCATTCTTACCTGATGACCTCATTTGATTTTAGAGGAGCCTTTAAAAATAAGTCATGGTCAGTTCTGAATTATTTTGCACCCCTTACATATGAAATGTGTACTGAGGGAGAGAGATCTTCAGTTCTGATTATTGCATTATTATTTTAAAGAATTACCAGAAATAGCATGATGTGGAAGAAATAGCGGGTGATATTGTGGCTCACTGAAGTCAGCAGGGGTTTTCCAATTGACTTCTGCAGGACTAAGCTTCTGTCCATAATTTACACAGGTCAGAAGCGATCAGTGGTGACTGAGGTAGTCAAGTTCAATCAGGCTGTCAGTCTCTGTAAATGGCTAATTAAAATGCAGTTTAGTTTTGTGGATGTGAGTTCATAGTGTTAATTTTCTGTGCATGGGAAGGAAAACGTTATTTTTATTTTGTATTTTCGCCTTTTCCTTTTGTACCTCTGTGGAAGAAGATTTGGAGAGGGGCTGCTTGTAAAGAAGAGCTTTGTCCTCTGGCAGCAGGGACTGGGGTTCCCCTGTAGTGTAGCTCTGGGTGCTGGGCTAATGAACTACATACCCTGATCTCAAATTCATCTTGTTCCTTTTACAAAGAAATGTTAACGTATAGTGCATCCAGTTAGTATGATCTGTTCAAGCTTCTGCCTTGTGGGCCCTGTAGGAATTTGCCATTTGAAGCACCAACTAAAGTTGGGATGGGGGATGTTTTGCTCTCCCAGTTGGCCCCCGATTCACTCCACCTCTTCAGCTGCATTCCTAGAGCTCCCTTCATGCACAATGAGCTGTTAACCTTCATGTTCTCATTAAAGACTGGATTCTTCTGGGTTGTGGTTTGAATAACAACTCCCCATCCCTGTGAGGGAACTGGAGGTGTTTGTTCTCCCACTTGGTGGGAGAACGTCACCCGTTTCAGTGCTGCCTCAGTTACCGAGAGCGAGGGGGTTCTGCAGTCCCGTAGCTCAGTGGTTTCTGGCATCGTCTTTTCTCTAGAGCTGGGTTTGTGGCAGTTGCTAGCTCCACGTGCAGTTCCATCACCCACAGCTGGTAAAGGGCTAGGAGATGCTGTGGGAGTGACAGCAGCACTGAAATTCCTCTCTGCCCCTTGTGAATAGATCCCGCGCTGCGAGTGCGGAAGGCGGCACTGACACGTCTGGTTCTTGCTGTCCTCTGCAGGCTTCTGCCCAGAGACTCAGCTGGGAGAAACTCCAGCAGCAGCAACAGCACAGGTGGATGGAACAGACTTAGCCTCTCCAATGTCTCCTCGAACTAGCAAGAGCCGCATGTCCATGAAACTGCGTCGCTCCTCTGGCTCAGCCAACAAGTCCTAAGTGGCGAAATGCCTGCAGCTTTCTAGCGAACAGCGACCGGCCGCCCTTCCCGCAGCGACTCACCACTTTCCCTTAAAGGATAATGTTTCTAATGTGTGTGTGCCCGTCCCCTGCATACCCCTTTTCTGTATGTTTATTTTAAACAATGACACTGGAATTTTACTTTAATATTTTAGCTTTTGGTTTTTTTTATGAAACTCCAGGCTGCCTCGGGGTTTGTTTTTTTTCTTTTTCTTTTTTTTTCTGATGTGCAGTTTGTCCTCTGCACCTTTTACCTTTCCGGATGATTACAATATCTTAGCAGTAGTCATTTTTAACTCTGGTTGATCTTGAGTCATATATGGAATTGGAGACCGCCATTTGATTACACTATATTTATTGTGCCCCATTGCAGTTTTCTCTGTAACAAAGAAAGAAATATGTACAATTTGAAAATGAATGTACAATTTTAAATTGAAGTTGCATTTGTAAAGTCTTTGTCAGATGTCACAATATTAATGCACAGGATGTGTACAGATTATTTATGTTAAGAATAAAATAGTTCAACGGCCTTTCAAGCATTACAGAGTCCAAACAAATTAATTTGCTTGTAGCACCAACTCTTTCTTCACAAAGCAATGTATCATTTCATAACTGTGCAGGTGATGCCATAATCTATGCCAGGAAAAAAAAATCACTGTGCTGAAATTCTACTTATGCTTGGCTTCCCAGTATTTTTATAATGTTTGCTTTTCCAAGTGGTATCAATAGTAAATGCCACTGAGTTTCATGGTTTTTAGCCTTTATCACCGGGCTGCTGGGTCTAGAAGTACGTCATTTCTTACATTAAAACAAAACAACAAAAAAGCACTTTCCCAATAGAATTTCATTGCTCTAATGATGTGTCCTAGGGAAGAAAAGGGAACATGCTCCGGGAGCCTGGCCTGAAATGCCCACAGTTCCAACCCTCTGAGTGCAGATTAGTACACGCGTTTCACTCACCCAGAGATATTTTCCTACAGAAGATGAAATGCTCACATTTTGAGTCTGGCAAGCAACAAAATGTAGCATGACATCGGTACTAACTGCATGTGTAAATATATCATATGGGCAACAATAAAAAGATAAATTATGTATTGTCATTCATGTAGTATCTACAAATTTGTAATGGCTGAAGAGAAGACATGCTATTTAATAATACAATAAAATTATTCTTGCCACCTTTTGTATATTAGTCATTCACCTCAGTGATTAGGTTCTTACTCCAATAGCATATTACGCATGGAGCAGTTCAGTGCAATACACAGCTTAGTTTTCATTTGTATTTTCGAAGTACACACGAGTTCTTAGGAGCTCCTTCCCGACCCATCGCAAGAACACCGTACTGAAAACTTCTCCCCGTGTCTAGTAAATACAATACACATAGCTCCGCAGGTAACAGAAAGCACAGGACCTTCCCTCCTGCAGGCTGGCTACTCAAGTGCTAATTGTAGGAGCAGTTAACAATCATCAGGTTTCTGTGGTCTGGAGCCCTTCCTCTTAAGACTGTACAGGTGGAGAAAGGAGAGCGATGATTTGAAAAAAAACCATAGTGACCTTTTCCAAGGGAGAACTGATTTCATGGCATAAACAGGCATTTTCAGCAACCAGCCATACCAACAAATGATGGAAAAAAGCACAACTTAAAATAACATGCTTTATTTCTGGCATAGGAGAAGAGCAAGCTGCAAGTTTAGCCTCCTTCATCCAACAGCAAATCTTAGCTGCTTTAGGTTATATTGTATTAATTCATTAGTCCAGGTCCTGGAACTAAATGGAAAAAGTCCGTGAAGCACATTTGAAATAAAGCAGTTATCGTTTGCTTTCAGCCTCAGGGCATGATACATGTGAATCTTTTGTTGTGTTAACAAAATATAAAACTACAGAAATAATTGCTTTAGAGGATGCTAATCAAAAGATTGAAATATTTTGCATGCTCGCTTCAGTTTTTTAGTGTCAGAACAAAGACTACGGCTGGGATCAGTTCGGTTCTTCAGAAAGCACCATCTGACTCACTTTGCCCTGAATTCAAGGAAGGTGTGAGCTTTGTTTTAAATTCTTTCTTGAATTTACTTGCCATTATTTTTGTTCTCATCACATTTGCAAATGAGCACTCATGTGGGAAAGTTAAATAAATAAATAAACACTGGCTAAAATGCCAGTAGCTGGTGAATTCAACAGTATTGCAAAGCATTTGGGCAGACCATCGTTAAAGCCGGGGAATACACGCTGTGGTTAGGGAGAAGGAAGGGAGCCTGTCATCTGCGCTTCGGCCACACATCCAAACGCTGTTTCGTGCTCTAATTTCAGCTGTTCACAAGACTCGGAGGAGCTCACATCAACAGCACAGCTCACGGGGGAGAGGGGTCGGAGGCCACCCAAAAAGGCCAGGTGTGGACAGACCCTCTGCCTGCTGCAACACAGGGGCCTGGCGAGACCCAACTGCGCTTCTTGCTGTTCTCCGTGCCCCGAGAAGCCACAAAGGGATTGGGTTTGGAAACGGGCAGCTGCGGGAGACGTGCGCTTTGCCCAGCACATGGTTGCTGGAGTACAGAAACACAGAGTAAGCGGGAGATGCGTACTTAGCTATAGAAGATCAACACCTCGTATTTTAATTAAGCAGACAGCACGATTAATTTTCCATACGTTTTGCTAGCTATTATATGACTTGACATTGACTTCATATGAACATTTACCTTCTCGACTATCTTAGTACAGAGTACAGCAAACAAAACACCTCACAATAACTTAAAAGGTGAAGCTCGGGGGCTAAGGCTATTAAAACAAGGTCACTAATCAGGCTCCTTTTTTCACGAAAAATAATTCCTCTCTTTAAATATCGTATATACATACAGCTGTACGTCTGTCCTGGGACCGAGAGTAGCTACGGAAGATGTACTTTAAGTGGGCTGGCACCCACCTCCCCGGCCTTGACCGCGTCCCGGCAGATGCTCGCAGGGCCCGGCTCCTTGCGT